CGTACGTGGCGTGTGGCAGTCAACAAGAAGAAGAGTCGGGCTCCGGCTAGTGGACCGAAGGGTGGCGCGGACCGTGTGACCAAGCCCGTTCCTCGACCTGGGACCCATGCAGGTGATCATTTAGTCATTCAGCCAGGACCCGCTACTTCTGTGGAAACGTCTCCGAAACTTGACTTTGAGCGCCCAACCCCGTTCGCCCAGGTTCCTCCTCCGAAACATCCTAGTTCCCTTGTGGTTGGGGTCGGGCTCGACCCAAATAAACATCGGGCGGTTTTGGTCGATGATGTCCAGGGTCGTGACATACAACCACGCCACCTCCCACTACCTGTCGCTGATGCGGTTATGGATGACGGGGACCATGGTGGCCGCCTTCAAGAACCGTGGCCCGAGGAGCCTGGCGATAGTCGGAGCTTGGAGGTCCATCTAGATGATATCACTCAGACCATGGACATAGCTGCGGGTTCGGCTGGTCCTGCATCTTCCTAGGCTTTTGCGGCTTCGCGTCCTTCTTCTATCTATTTTCCTCATGAATATATTATCTTGGAACGTTCAAGGAGCAGGCTCACTGGGTTTCCAGGGGACCTTCTCGACTTTGGTTCATCAGTATAAGCCGGTCATCGTTGCCATTTTTGAACCATGAATTAGTGGTGCCCAGGCGGATAAGTTTGTTAAGCGTAGTCGATTTGCTAATACTTTCCGTGATGAAGCTCGGGGCTTCTCCAGGGGCATTTGGGTTTTGTGGACGGATGATGTGTGCCTCGAAGTGCTGCAGTTCTCTTCTCAGTTTGTGCATGCCCGGGTTGCCAAGCATGGTGTCGTGAGTTTGGTGTCGTTTCATGGTGTCGTGAGTTTGGTGTCGTTTGTCTATGCCAGCCCCAATGCCCGGCTACGTCGGTCCTTATCGGTGGACTTTGCTCATTTAGCGTCCCAGGTATCCGACCCATGGCTCATAGGTGGGGACTTTAACTGTCTCTTGCGCCGCTCAGAAAAAGTTGGGGGTTCTTCTCACTTTTGCAATATTAGCCAGGACTTTGGGGATTTGATGTTCACTCATGGGCTGCAGGAGGTTGTCACGGACGACCACCTTTTTACCTGGACACGTGAAGGCCCACATGGTCGTGTCTCTGAACGCCTGGATTGGTTCGTGGCTAACGTGGAGTGGATGGAGTCGTTTGAGGGGAGTCGGGTTCGCCTTCTGCCGCGTCTCCACTCGGACCATTCACCGCTATTTCTTGGGTTCGGGGTCACTGAGCTCCATCACAGTGGTGTGAAACCTTTTCGCTTCCTTGCTGCCTGGCTCCTCCATCTGGGCTTTTCGGAGATGCTTCAGACCTCATGGGACCCGACCCTTTCTTTCGTGGATGCCGCAGCTCAGTTCAGAGACGCAGTGCGGGAGTGGAATTTTTTGGTGTTTGGTAACATTTTTAGCCGAAAAAAGAAGCTGCTGGCCCGCCTCGCGGGCATTCAGAGAAGTCGTCAGTTTTATTTTAAGGAGAGTTTGGTGACCTTGGAGAGACAGCTTCGCCTCGAGCTCGATGATGTGATACGCAAGAGGAGCTGCTGCTTCTGCAGAAATCCACGCGCGATTGGCTGAATTTGGGGGACCGGAATACCTCTTACTTTCATAGATAGCTCAAGCAACGTCGTCGGCGCAGTCGGGTCACTGAGCTTCTTGATGAGGAGGGCAACCTTGTGTCTGATGCCACGGCGCTCCAAGAGCATGCGAGGACTTTCTTTCATGGGATTTATACAGCTGGGCCGCCGGACCCAGCCTCTGCGGCCCTACCCAACCTCTTCCCTACTCCCGACTTGTCAGTGATGGGGGACTTGGATGCGGCTATTTCAGACGAGGAAATCCACTCGGCCTTGTTCAGCATGGGGTCCTTGAAGGCCCCGGGGATGGATGGCTTGAACGCCTTGTTCTTTAAGCAACACTGGGACACGGTGGGCCACTCGGTTCGGGCTATGATACGCTCCATGTGGCAGGATGGCGTAGTGCCACGGGAGCTGAATAAAACGCTCCTTGTGCTCATTCCTAAGGTGGAGCATGTCTCTACGATTCGCCAGTTCCGACCCATCAGCCTCCTCAACGTCGTGTATAAGATCTTTACCAAAGTCTTGGTCAATCGCATGAAGACCTCACTGCAAATTTTGATCCATCCAGCCCAGGCCAGTTTTGTCCCGGGGCGTCAGATTGTGGACAATATTGTCGTGGCTCAAGAGCTCATTCACTCCATGCGGGGTAAGCGTGGGGCGAAGGGTTTTATGGTTGTCAAGATTAATCTTGAAAAGGCTTATGACTCCCTCCGGTGGGATTTCATTGAAGAAACCCTTCGGCAGGCTGGCTACCCTCTTATGCTGGTTGTGGCAATCATGGCAAGCATCTCGTCGGCCTCCATGAACTTACTATGGAAAGGTACCGTTGGGGAGGAGTTCCTCCCGACCAGAGGGGTCCGCCAGGGCGATCCCATTTCCCCTTACCCTTTTGTACTTTGTATGGAGAGGCTGGCACAGCTCATTTGCCAGGCGGTTGACCAGTCTGGCTAGAAACCGATCTCAGTCGATCGTGGCTCCGTGTCGGTCCCTTTTTTATGTTTGCCGACGACCTACTCTTTTTCCTGGAAGCTTCAGATGACCAGGTTCTCGTACTTCAGCACACCATGGACCTTTTTTGTCGTGCCTCGGGCTTGAAGGTGAGTGCCGAAAAAACATTAATTCTTTTTTCAGACAATGTGGCGCTCCCGGAACAACACCGTCTGGCGGCCGCACTGAACTTTCGTTGGACGAACAACTTGGGCAAATACCTCCGCATGCCCATGATCCACGACTGTGTGACGAATCAGACTTATTTGCATATTCTGGAAAAGGCAGAGTCTCGTTTGGCCGACTGACGCATGAAGTCCCTATCCTTGGCGGACCGGGTTACCCTTACTCAGTCGGTACTGAGTGCTCTTCCCTTCTATTCCATGCAATCAGCCCTGCTGCCCCGCGCCACTGTTGACGGTGTTGAGCGCCGTAGTCGGTCCTTCCTGTGGGGGGCGGGGGGGGATCTGTTGACCAACGTAAGCTTCATCTTGTCGCTTGGAAGGATGTTTGCAAGTCTAAATCTGAGGGGGGCCTTGGTATTAAGGATTTGCGGCTTATGAACACGGCTCTTCTCATGAAGCTGGGCTGGGGACTTCTGACGAAGCCAGATGCTTTGTGGGTTCGTGTCTTGAAGGCCAAATACAGTCTCTCCCCCTCTCCCCGCTTAGCTTCGGTTACGTGCACTCGGGGATCTCCCTTAATGCGCGCTATTGCCCAGCTGTGGCCTGAGGTCATTAAGGGGGTCCGTTGGCATCTCGGAAATGGTGCTGCTGTTCGCTTCTAGAGTGACCCTTGGCTCGACACAGTCGGCCCCTTGTTTTGGGTCGCGACTAATCCTCCGCCGACAGGTACACTCGATTTGCCGGTGGCCGCCTACGTCGATGAGAGTGGCGGCTGGACATGGGACCTCTTCCATGGCTACCTATCGTCCGATGTCATATTGCGCATCGCCAGTACCGTTACACCGCGACCGTCAGCCGGAGATGACCTGCTGCTGTGGGATCGGTCTGAGGATGGTAGGTTCACGACCCGCTCTGCCTACCGCTCGCTTTCTTCTCCTCTGCGGGACCCTGATCACCGTCTCTGGACTCTCATCTGGCGCACACCGACAGCTCAACGGGTTCGGCAATTCTTGTGGCTCGTGGCGAAGGGAAGGATCCTCACCAACGCGGAACGGGTTCGGCGGCACATCGCGGCCTCGCCGGACTGCGATTTCTGTGGCGCGTCGGAGTCTGTTTTACACGTTCTTCGAGACTGCTCGCTTGCCCAGAGTGTTTGGACCCGGTTGCTCCCGGGCGATGGGGGTGACTCATTTTTCGAACTACCGCTGTCGACTTGGCTGGGGGCTAATCTCTCCCGCGGGCTGTGACTTCCAACTGGGACAGTATTTTCGCGCATGCCACGTGGAGTTTGTGGGGCTGGCGCAATGATCGGATATTTCGCCATCATACTTAGGGTTGCACTGAGCGGTATCTTGAGATTGTCCGGCGAACCGATTCTTATGGCCGTCTGGCTGCGGCTTTGCACCGTTTGGGGGCTGATGTTCATGTTACACGCATGATCCATTAGAGCCCACCGGATCTGGGATGGATAAAGCTTAATACCGATGGAGCATTTCACAGTAGTACGGGCATGGGATGCGCGGGGGGTCTCCTTCGGGATGAGTTGGGGTGTTGGGTTGCTGGATTTTTAATGAATATCGGCATTTGTTCTATCACGGGAGCCGAGCTGTGGGGTTTATTTCAGGGGTTGCAGTTGACATGGGACCGGGGTTACCGTAAGGTTGTTGCTGAGGTGGATAGTAAGTGCGTTACGAGCATGATCTCAGGCTCAGGTGTATCCCATGGGATCGTCCAGGCTATTCGGGAATTGTTGGATCGAGATTGGCAGGCTCGGGTTTGTCACGTTCACAGAGAGGCTAATTTTGCGGCGGATCATATGGCTAGTTTAGCGGGTTCCTCTTCCTTGGGTCTTGAGCGTGTTTCCCAACCCCCTCCCGACTTGGGGTCTTGGCTGGATGATGATGCTTTTGGGATTTCATATCCCCGTCGAGTCGTAGTTTAATTTCACTCTAGGCATTTGGCCTCCTTTTTTTTGTACTTAAAAAAAAAAAAAAAAATCCATAAAATTAATGAGGGGCGGCTATATTGGATTCTCCCTCTACGGAAATCTGAAGAAGGGTCGGAGATGAATTATTAAAAAATAGCCGTCAGTCGTTTTAATTTCTATGAACAAATCCTACATTCGCGATCCTTCAGCACAGTCAATTTGGCGAAGTTATCCTCAACTTATGGCCACTAATTCACCGGCAACATTTACAAGAAGATGGCCACTTTCTAAGACCAAAGAAAACGAAGGCAAAGAACAGTCCGCAGAGAGAGAGAGAGAGAGAGAGAGAGAGAGAGAGAGCAGAAATGGAAGACGAAGTGATCGCCAATAACAAGCAGGTGATATTGAAAGACTACGTCAAGGGTTTTCCACAGGAATCCGACTTGCCGTTGGTAAGCTCCACCGTGAAGCTCAAAATCCCCGGCGACTGCCACGACGCCGTACTGGTCAGGAACCTCTACTTGTCCTGCGACCCTTACATGCGTAACCTTATGAACAAGATCGAATCGGACGACCCAAACTTGTACTCCCCCGGCTCTGTAAGTTACTTATCTCCTCCACCAACTTATTATGGGGTTTCCTCTTTGCTTTTCGATTTCACATCCTAGCTACTTGTTCCTTAGTTAATGGCTTAAGGCTGCTGTGTGGGAAATGGAGCTGACTGTATATTTTGTGTAATTCTATGGCCACAGGTGAAAGAGAAGGTTTCTTTCTGTAATTGGGCTTAGAAATTCATAGTTCTTTTGAGTCTATACTGTGTTTTTGTGGTGAATTTACTCCTGCATAGGTTTTGTGAGAAGAAAAGCATTTGTGCGAACACACACCAAAAGGAAAAGACTTCGCAATCTCGGTTCTGGATTTTCGCAATCTTTAGAGTCTATGCTGAATTTTACAACTACAATTGTGAAGTGGGAGCTTTCACTTTGAATTTTGACTAACCACAGTTTGAAAAACATTTCTTAACAGTATCTTTGAAATGCTCTGGCTCTCATGAACATACATTTCATAAATTTTCCTCCAATGGTCACGCGAAAGTTGCTTCGTGGATCCCGGTTTTGGACGGTATTTATTAAGCAATAATAATCGTTGGCGGCTAATGAAAAGTTTAATTTGGTTTTGTTTTGATACAGCCTATTAGGGGGTATGGAGTGTCAAGAGTAGTGGATTCTTCTCACTCCAGCTTTAAGGAGGGTGACCTGATTTGGGGTCTCACGGGCTGGGAGGAGTATAGCCTTATTAGAAATCCAAGCAGCTCTTTTAAAATTCCAGACACAAGTGTGCCTCTCTCCTACTATACTGGAATTCTTGGTAAAGCCTCTGAAATCCTTCGGCAATCGATCTTATGTTTTCCTTAGAGTCGGAACAAAAGCAACTAAATGATAATTCGTTAAGCGTTTCTCATGATTTTTTTTGAAGAGTACTCTTCTCTTCCTTGCCTTTTTAATTTCAACTAGATGTCTTGCAGTGAATTATGCACTGGTTTGCTGCATTATAAACGTGTTGTGATGATCAAAGAACGAATTGAGTGTTCATATTACCAAATGCATTATGTTTTCGGAAAAGTTTAATTATAGTAGTCCGAGTGTTACTTGATTTTTTTCTCCCCTACATACAGTGTAAACAGGAAAAAAATGTAAAAAATGCTGGAAATTAGAAGTATATGATTTTCTTTCTCTCTGTTGCATGGCTTTGGCTGGGCATAGCAGCGTACAGGTGTGGGCGGCTGAGAAAAATCTTGTAGACAAGTAAAGAAGGAAGTTAGAATATATTATAAGAATAGATGTACTAACACATTAAGTACAAGACAAAGAGATTTTGATTGACTTGCCTTATACTTCAGCATTCGCGGTTGCACCTTTTCAAATCGGGTTTTCCACAGTGTACTATATATTGGTGACTTTTAATAAGAAATGGCTTGCAATCGATTCTTAAATCTTTTTTTTTTTTCTTTTTTTTTTTCTTTTTTTTTTTTCTTTTTTAACATTTTTAGCTTCTTGATTTTGCATCAACTTATTCTGTAGGTATGCCGGGCATGACTGCTTATGCTGGTTTTTATGAGATCTGCTCCCCGAGAAAGGGAGAATACGTCTTCATTTCAGCAGCATCTGGAGCTGTTGGTCAGCTGGTCGGGCAGTTTGCAAAGTTGTTGGGTTGTTATGTTGTTGGAAGTGCCGGGTCCAAAGACAAGGTTAGTATTGTCCGTCAAATATGTGATCACTGTCCAGTTAGACCTTTCATAATCATGGTTGTTTTTGCGTAATCAACAGAAAGTAGTCTATCAATGTCTCTGTAATATATGGTACGCACAGTCTTAATGTGATAATTCATATTACTGATATTTGCATGGGGCTGTTTCAATTGTCTGCTGAAGATTGAACTCTTGAAGAACAAGTTTGGGTTTGATGATGCTTTTAATTATAAAGAGGAGAAAGATCTGAATGCCGCTTTAAAGAGGCAAGTTTTCACCTTCATTTTTGTGCTTCCTGAGATTGATAGTTTTAAGTTCCTCCGATTAATGCAAGATGAATGTAAATATAAAAACGGGCTCTCAGAACTTTGGCTCTGAACTTACATTAGCAGCAAACAGATCCATCCTTTTCAAAACTATAGATATTTCAACTGATGTTCATACATACATCCCTCAACTTCATTGCACTAATCGTGCGGTGGTTTAGGTACTTTCCGGAAGGCATTGATATCTACTTTGAGAACGTTGGGGGAAAGATGCTTGATGCTGTGCTCCTCAACATGAGACTCCATGGGCGAATAGCAGTGTGTGGCATGATCTCTCAATACAACCTCGACCGGCCAGAAGGCGTGCACAACTTGTTTACCCTCGTGAGCAAACGAATACGCATGCAAGGATTTGTTGTTGTTGACTACTACCATCTCTACCATAAGTACCTTGACATGATCCTCCCATTAATCAAGGAAGGAAAGATTACTTACGTGGAGGATATAGCCCAAGGCCTCGAGAGCGGTCCTCGTGCACTTGTTGGGCTTTTCTCGGGTCGTAATGTTGGGAAACAGGTTGTGGCCTTAGCGCGTGACGATGATGTTTAGTTTTGTGTTTGTTCTCATGTGTTGAGTAAGCTTGAGGGAACTGTCCTGTCTTGTTTTTATAAAAAAAAAATAATGGTATAAAAAACACTATTACATAGACTAAGGGTAGACTAAGGGTGTGTCTGTATATAAAATAAGTCGATACATACTCAAAGTCTGCTTTAGGGTGCTACATCGGGTTGCACAGTGATGCTCCACTGTGAGTGTAACTCAAATGATTTAGGGCATTACTATTCACCGCCCCCCTTATTACTAGTCACCGCCCCCCTTGGACATTTTTGCCCTTTATTACTATCTCTCTCTACTCTATCTCTCTACTTTTTTTCTTTCG